ACTCGCAATTCTCGAATCAACCGAGGCTTCAATTTGGATAAATCGAAAAAAAAGATACTTTTCAAATATTTTTTTAGACTTTTGATATTTCCTTAGTTTCATAAAGTGTTTCTGGTGCTCTCCAGTGTTCTTCCTTTACTTTATAGTCTATTGAGGCTTTATAGGAATTTGTGAAGTTTGTTTCCGGGATCATATAATCAGTCCCCATTTCTAATAATGGGTGTCTGATTTTATTGATTATGGTATTACGCCCGAATTGTTTATTTCCATTCCAATTTAATTGTTTCTGGAGCCTAATTGAGCTTTATCTAGCCACTCCTTGTATGAATATTTCCAGTTTAGGTAGGTTTAGCTAAGTTTGTACTGCGTAACACCATTCGTATTGGTTGTTCTCATTGCCCCTTTGATAATAGGTTTGCTAGTCTTTGTATGCTGCCTAATGTTTGGGTAGCTACCTTTTGTTGAGCTTTGTTCCACCAGATTAGTGATCCATAGGTTATTCTCGGTCTTATTACTGCCGTGTATAGCCGATGGATAGATCGGAAGCGTCCTTTCTTGCCAGTGTGAAAAACTAAGCATTAAAAACAAACGAAGAAGCTAGTGAAACGCACTATAATAAATCACCTTTTGTCACTAACCAATACTCGCACTGCCCCAGAATACTCGATATTCTCCTGGTAATAGAAGAATCCTGTCCAATTCACGCTAATAAATGACATACACACAATAAACTATATTCCCACTGCTCCAGAGTTTTCTATATGATAGAAATAAGAACTGTTTCACATTTATCATTACCATTCAACCCAGTAGGTCATACAAAATATATCTCATTCATTCGAGCCCAATATTCTGCATATTATTTGTATACAGTTCTTTATAAAGTTAAAAATAACTATATTTACTAGCGAATGCAATGTATATTTCCTGCAAATAATTATATTATTAAGGCAAGGTAAAAAAGTCCATTTTTTGTTTGTTTTATATCTTTATTTCAACATTCAACTTTTGACTTTTATGATGTAAGTTCTATTAATTGTTTAATTTCATTTTTTAAATTATTTACAACAGACTTACTTAATGAATTTTAGCCCTCAATTGCAATTCCTATAAGTTATTACAACATTAAAATATACGAGACAATTTTGATAGTTATTATCCTTCGTTGCGTGCTGTTTCGGTTTTCCAAGATTTGCTCGTGATGCAGTTTGTTTTATTTTATGACGTTTTTATACCTGTTTCTAGTGATATTATAATTTTTGTCCAAAATTTCCAACTTATTTACATCACAATAGTTCGATGTACGACACTTATTCTTTTAACACTTATAAATAATTTTGACAAAATACATCTAAAATTTCTGACCATAGATCGAAAGCAAATGTGACACAACAAAAAGCGAAGTTGAGAAGAAAATATGTACAAAACTACGTCATTCAAAATTTGTTTTTCTCAAAAAATAAAACACTGACTACTATATCAAGATATGAACAAGATATGTTTACATTTGTTAAATAATTTTGGTTTCTTTTAATCGATTTTTATTGTCGATAATTATTGTAGGTTTTCGAAATGATGAAAAAAATTATTAGCCCTATATTAAACGATTTTACCATAAAAAAAATGCAATTATTGTCAATTTATAGTTATTTTATTATACTTTCCGTATTTTTATTATTATATTAAAAAATCGATTTTTAAATATTTCTTTATTGTCAACGACTACTTTTTTTCGGCACCGAATTATCGAGATATTTATCACATTTTATTTGTAAAAGAAAATATTAGTTTCCCGAATGAATAGTTCTGCCCGACATTTTTATTTTCCCGAGATAAAGACATTTTGAAAAAAAATAATTGTAATAGCAAAAGTAAAAGGCACTAAAACGTCGAAAGAAACAGAAAAAGCAATAACACGAATAGATTAGTATTTATAAATACTTATCTATTGACTTATATAATTATTTCCATTTATTTTTACCAATTATTTGAACAATTAATAAACACGCTATTGGATTATTATATACAGAACATACTAATTGACAGAAAACTACACTAAAAATCTGGTTTCGATAGACACAACCATAGCGTCGTTGAACGGCTAAACTAAAACTAAAAAGGCTTTTTCCAACCTGAATCTACATTTTATTTTTATAAGTATTACCAATTCCTTTTTTTTCTATTTCCTTGACCTGCTAGCTTTCTAAATTTCATACTATGACTGCTAAATTTCAGACTTGGAAGCACGTGGAAGTGCACTTCATATTATGGACGTCCTATCCCGACTGTATTATAAAATTAAAATATTTTTTATAACAATTAAATATAACAAAACAAAATCTCAACGACATGAATTATTGTCAGAGGTGTCGATTTTTTTTTATTATATAGTAACTTTATTATTTATTTAATTTTTATATATTTTATTTGTCACATCAATCTGTAAGGCCGGATATGTTTATGATTTCCTTATTGTTAACGTCTCCTTAGATACATTAAATGCACTTTATATGTTTATTACTTAATTGTAACGAGCATTTTTACCACTTCTAGTCACTAAAAGCCAAGAAAATCCGTGTATATTTTACTCTTTTTTTATAACTTCAACGATTAAAAATCAACATCACGATATAATCTAGCAAATCATTCCAACAAATGTATAATCACTGTTTAAAAACACACTTATTAGGCGATAATACAGGAAAATCATGTTCAAATTGTCAAACAAGAAGTTAAATTTTTTGTTTAATAAAATTTGCAAAGTAGTTCAAAAAAGAATGTGATAACCCTTCAGTTGTGTTCATATTTATTTTCATGGAAAAACGAGACTGAACACTGATTAATAAAAAAATTTTCTAAAACATTAAAATATATTAATTATTATTTTATTTATTATCGTATAATAGTACTTTCTACTTTACAGTAATAATTTTTTGTTTTTAGTCTGTAGCAAAGTACAGAGAGGGTTTAAAATGTAATATATTGTGTATAAGCATATTTAGTCACGGTTTTAAGCCAAATAAATTGTTAATTAAGAATAATTAAATAAAATTAGTCCTGGTACATGTATTGATGAAAATTTAATTTGTTCTTGTCGGTAGAAGGAGTATATAAAGTAAAAATTAAATAAATGACCTGGAATGCATTAATTTACTCCCTTGATGGCTTTCAGTGACAGTGCTTAACTAATAATCTCATTGTCATATAGTGAATTTCATCTTTGTAACGTACGAGAACCGAATACCAATAACAAACGGACCCTTCGCATAAATAACATAATTTTATTTCGTGTTTTTCTCCACGAAGAGCCCTGCCATTCCTCTAACTTCACACTACTCTACTAAAATACGTCGACTTGCTCTTGATCCTAAATTTAAATATTGTCGTACATATATTTCGAAGCGAAATGCTCGAATTGACTGTCAATTTATTATTGTAGGCTTTGAAATGTAACACTTCTGAAATTAGAATTTATCTTGTCACAAGTCCTCGTTTTATGAAACAAAAGCTAAAAATGCTAAATCCGAGAGGACCTTTATTAAAAACAGTTAAGAACTTTCAAAAACACTTGTTACTTAAATAAGCCTTAAAATTGTTGTTTAATTTTGAATACTACAGACAACACCCTTAAAAAGGCTAAATGTCTTCTTCGGGCGGTGATGTTGGGCAGCAGAGCCCTTCGCTCCCATCAGGCCGTATACAGAAGAGGAGTGTCTCTGCTGTAGTCACTTCGTGTTCGACAATCCCGTGGAACTCTTTGAGGTCTGAGGACGGGAACCAGGCTTTCTCGTTGTCGTCGATTATCACAATCCCGAAACACCTACGACGTAAGCTGTTAGCTGTTTACATGGTGCAAAACAGGGAAAACATTACCTGCAGATAGCAACCAAGGGTATCCAAATGACGGCCACGGTAACCAACAGGATTATCAAGAGTACGGCCCAGATCGGCCATTCTTTTAGGACGGTGTCGCCCTTTTCGGCTATCCACGCCGGGTATCCGCTACCTTGCGTTATCAGATCGGCTACACTAGCCAGTAGAATCAGCAGCATAGCCAGAGGTGAAAGGTACTTCCAGCAGACGAGCCAGTACAGACCAGGCCTGGTCCCTGTCATAAGTTCGATGTCATCTGCGAACCTGTCAATTCAATTTAAAAACCCTCCACTTTTTCTTATTTTTCAATGATACATCAACAATTACATCTTCTGCAATAATGCTCAGCTTTTAGTACACTACATGCTGAAGTTTGCTACGGAAGCATAGAACATAATAAACAAGAAATGTGTGGTGATTAGTGACCGTTAGTCGATGATTATTCAGAAATCGTGAGATGCGGTCTGGTGTGATGTAGTTTTCAGAAAAACATTTTCTTTAACGTTCCAACGTTTCGATCTTTACTGAGATCATCTTCAGGGCTCAAAGTGTTTGTTTTCTGGGTAAGTGTGCCATTCTTGCGTCGTGTTGAGAGTGCCCAACATATCACGTCACTTTTTTCCACATCCTACATGTATTTGTTAAATTTAAACAATGTATGTAAATCCCAGGCCCTGAAGATGATCTCAATAAAGATCGAAACGTTGGCACGAGAAAGAAAATGTCTTTCTGAAACCTACATCACACCAGACACATCTACAAAATCAACTGTTTAAACTGCCCGGCAACTTACATCGGTCTCATATCCCAATTTCTCGATAAGAGAGTAAAGCAGCATATCTATGATGGCAAAAAACGCAAGCAAAATTCTACAGCAATCGCTACCCACCATTTAGAACACAAACACAATTTCGACTTCAACAATCTAAAATTATTACACACAGAACAAAACAAACATAAAGTAACTTTTTAGAAATGGTTTACATCAACAGAGATAAACACAGCATCAATTACAGAACAGAAACATGTAAAGTCAGTCGAATATAAAAAATATATATTTTTTGCATTGTATAAATTCACTTTTTTCCACATTCTACATGTATTTGTTAAATTTAAAAAATGCACGTAAATCCCAGGCCCTGAAGATGATCTCAATAAAGATCGAAACGTTGGCACGAGAAAGAAAATGTCTTTCTGAAACCTAAATCACACCAGACAGCATCTCACTATTTCTGAATAATAATAAACAAGAAAATACGTATGACATATCCAAAGTTCCCGATGAAATAACTTGCTACAATTGTAATTCTAAATGTAACCCAAGTAAGACCATATGTACAAAACTTATGTTCATGCGTTTACAATTATTACCAACCTATCTGCACCTGCTGGGAGGTTGTCAGAGAGTGGCACCGTTCCCAGATCCCTCGCTCAAAGAAGAAAGAAGACCGCGAAACGCGAGTAGATGTTTTTTAAATAAATAAATATAATTCTTAAATTCACGCGCCTCGGATGATTTTTGTGCCGCTTGGACTTTTATTTAAAGACGGGCCAAGTGGCTTTCTCACCCATTGCTATATAGATATGTTTCTAAAAGTACTCATAGAATAATTAACGTCGCCCACAATTATATTACTAGCATAGGACACTTAAGAAGATCTATACAATCAACATAATTTAAACATACAAATAAAAATATAAAATAAAATGATGCATATAAAAAACAAAATATAATCTTTTTTTCTACGATCATTTTCTAAATTAAAAGAAGGGCAAAGAATAGATATTTATTTTTCAAAAAATAAATAATTCTAGCAAAGAGGCAATAACGGGCTAAGTACAATTACATACTTGTACTATGACTGAAAATGTTACACAAGGCACTTTTTTTACATTACTTTCGTACATATATGTTGCCTATGCAGGAAAATGCTGCATTTATATTAATGTGTGCTTTTGTGTTCCCTATTTATATATCTACAAAGGCCTTAAATAGGGTAAATACACTCACTAATAAAACCCTTTAACCCAAACATAGTTATGACCTAGCCGAGACATGTTGGTTTTGTTGGCCTACCCACATTTTATTTTATTACATTTTTTTTATTTCAAGGGAGGCCCTTAAGTTTTGATAATGATGTCGACAATTCATAAACTTGTATTCATTTAAGCCATGAAATATAAATGTCTGCACACTCCAATGGTTACATTTTTCCAGGGTCCGGCCTGAAAATAGGAAAAACCCCACGGCTGCTTTACTTGCTCCCAGAGGCAACTGGCAAACTTTAAGCAAGACCATATATTAGACTTTAATCTAGACTTGAGAGAACAAGGACAAACATAGACTCCTATAAGTGGAATGGGCCCAGAAAACAAAAGTTGAAATGGACGAACTCTCGAAGTTCCAGAGGTAAGATCCCTTGCCAAAACTGGCGTACACATTGCTATAGTTAGGCGAGGTGGCATTCAAGGGTGTTATTGGACAATGAAGAGGAACCTATGCCGCCACTATTATCTTCGAATGCTACATAACTGCTCAATCGTTACATAACCTATAGTACCATGAAACATAGAGAAAAATAATTGAATCAGTGACAGTCAACGACTTAATAATTGTTAAAAGAAGAATGAGTAAATTTAACACGGCCATTTATAACCAACGCTGTTTCAAATAGATTAACTTAACCCCTCATGATCTATTATTAATCTCATGTTGAACCGGCACACAGGGAATTACTGGGTCTGTCTTCCCTCGCGAGTTGTTGGTTTGAATTATTCAAACGCGTTTCGGCATTACGCCATCTTCAGTGAAAAACTGTCCGTCATTTTGTCTGAGAAAGGTTTTGTAGAATAGAATTGCGTCCGTCGCTTCATTGCCTCTGACGGAAAATCAAATTATGCCACACACTTAATACACTACAACCACGAGCCAAACACAATAGAAAAAGCATGACATTAATACACAACGCACAAAAGGACGAAAACTAAACATTTTGGAGAATCTCGAGATATACGAACAAATAACACTTAAAGACGGAAAACTTATAAACGCACAAACAAACTCACATTCACACACCACCTTTACACCATTAAAAACACTTCATAACAAAAAATGAAAACGTTCGGAAGAACAAAACATCGTAACCAACACGACGAAAAAGCAAAAAACCAACAGCGCACAAATAATAACTGACAACGGAACCGCCACCGAGACCGATCAACGAGCACGAAGACCACGCCCCCTAACGCAACGCCCCCAGCGACAAGCGACGGATGCAATACTATATAAACCTTACTCAGACAAAATGACGGACAGTTTTTCACTGAAGATGGCGTAATGCCGAAACGCGTTTGAATAACTCAAACAAAAAACCCGCGACTGAAGACAGACCAGTTGTGCCCGTGTGCCGGTTCAACATGAGTTCGCCAACTCGCAGACCAAACCCCATCATCTTCTATTATTAATCTATTAATTCTACTGATGGCACACTAAATAGTAAATAATAATCCAAATATTTTTCATTTTTTATCCTATCATCAACAGAACTGAACACTCACAAAAAAGTCAAACTACGAAAAACTGGTTTTAGTATAAAGTAAGTTGAATGTGGTTTATTTAACTGCTAAAACTCACCGTTTTAAACCGTAGACGTAAGAAACAGCAATACATTCGCACAGGGCTATCATCAGAAGAGGGAAGTTACCAGAAAAGCTGTCGAACAGGACAAATACATAATTTCCTGAGCCGTGAGCGAAACTCATTGATATTAAACAGCAGATTAAGCACATAACACCTGAAATAGAGATTCTTGGTTAAATTGGGGTGATACGTTACATTAAAACGTTTACAGAAAGATTTTCCGAGCTTTGCAGTTTAAATTGGTAAAAGCGGTTTTGAATACTTCAGTGTTTACTTAACACAATATTACTTATTTCACCTGTTAATATCTCTTTTCTGAGATTCGGGAAGAGCTTCATATCGACAATGGACGTAACGACGCCTTCGAGGGTGCCAAATTGTGAATCAATACCCAGAGTGAACAGCATCAGAAAGAAGAGCACGGACCAGAGTTGAGCTCCCGGGAATTGGTTGATCGCTTCGGTGAATATTATGAATGCGAGGCCTGTTCCTGCTGCAGACTGAAAAGAAGAATTCTATGTTCTTTTTGGGTCTGAAGATTGTATGTTCACATTAGTCTTTATGACCAAGTACGAAAGGATGAACGTAAAACATAATGTTTGTTGTGCGATCAACCAGCCTTCATACGATGTTGATTGGGATTCGGATTGTAGTCTTCAAACATACAATGTTATTATATCAACGCCCAAGCTTTCGACAAGTTTTATTGTCTTCTTCAGGGAGAGAGACATAGGGACATAATCATTTAGATAGTTATAAATTGTATAAATAGTTATAAAATATCAGTTTTTTGTTACTTACAGATACAAAGTCAAAACTTAAACACATTGCACATTACACGATATGTATACAAACAAACTATATACATATATAATAAATAAATAAATAAAACCTCTTCTTAACAGCCTCTTACATATATAGGCATATTTTTTAAAACCAGTAACAATTACTTAACAATTAATATTCTTTTGGTACATAAATATCACAGGCGTTTGACTAGAAAATTGTGTTTATCACGTTATCAGTGGGAGGTTCCCCACACTATCACCTAATGATAACAATCATTTCCCACAATTTTGAAAAACAAGATCTTAATTTCTAATACATTGATAATTCTATTATTATACATATATAGCCTGTTATAACTAAATAAATAAATAAATAAATAAATAGATAAATAAATATGTACGCAAGTTCTAAAGTTCTACATTTAATGGATGCTTCAAGTATGAAGATCAAATATATACACAAAAAGAAGGTCTGGCCATGGGAGGTACTCTTTCACCGGTGCTTGCGGACCTTGTAATGAACGAGCTACTGGATTGGATTGGTCTTAATTTTGGATTTCACATCAAATTTCTTAAGAAATATGTTGATGACTTGTTTTTGATTATAAAAAAGAGTGAGCTGGTGGACATTTTGAAGGCGTTTAATTCTTTCCACCCGTCGCTACAATTTACACAAGAAACTGAGGTGGATGGGAAACTTCCTTTTCTTGACGTAGTTGTCATTAGAGATAATGGTAAATTAATAACTAACTGGTATTGGAAACCAACCAGCTCGGACAGGATGCTACATTTCTCATCCAACCATTCCTTTCAAATGAAAGCTAACATAGTTTTTAACCTCATGGATAGGGCTCTGAAATTGAGTGATGATCGGTTCCATAGTGAGAACAAGGAAAAAGTGCGCTCTATGTTAATAGACAATGGTTATCCAAGATCATTAATAAATAGATTAATGGAAAACAAGACAAGAGCAACAAGGGTTGAGAATATAACTGTCGAGCGGAAACTTTATCAACCAGTTACATATGTAGCTGGAACATCAAGTAAGTTAAAGAAACTGTTGAAAGAAAAAAATAGATAATGTAAAAATTGTTTACAAATTTAACAATAAAGTGGGTAAGAATTTTTACACAAAACTTAAATGTAAAGAACCTCTACTACAAAAATCTAATGTAGTGTATCGCATTAAATGTGCACAATGTCCCACGGTGTATTACGGCCAAACAAAACAATATTTATCCGAACGTGTGCGGCAACATAAGTATGATAGCAACGATGAAGAAAGGCCGGGAACAGCACTAGCCAAACATACACACGCTACGAAACATAATTTTGACTTCGATGGAGTCAAAATCGTGGCTTCAAAACAAAATACAGGTCGTAGACTTTTGAGGGAAATGATATCTATTCATCAGGATAACATGGCTTGTAATTTAAAAACAGATTTGAATAATTTAAGTGTGATGTACAGTGGGATTATAGAAACAGATAAGGTCTCTCTCAAAAGATCGTAACAATATTTGCGTCCATATTTATTTATTTATCTATTTATTTATTTATTTAGTTATTTATTTATTTATATATTATAACAGGCTGTGATAACATAGAATTACCAATGTATTAGAAATTAAGATCTTGTTTTTCAAAATTGTGGGAAATGATTGTTATCATTTTGTGATAGTGTGGGGAACCTCCCACTGATAACGTGATAAACACAATTTTCTAGTCAAACGCCTGTAATATTTATGTACCAAAAGAATATTAATTGTTAAGTAATTGTTATTGGTTTTTAAAAAATGCCTATATATGTAAGAGGCTGTTAAGAAGAGGTTTTATTTATTTATTTGTGTCGTGTAATGCGCAATGTGTTTAAGTTTTGACTTTGTATCTGTAAGTAACAAAAAACTGATATTTTATAACTATTTGTACAATTTATAACTATCTAAATGATTATGTCCCTATGTCTCTGTAGTTCCCCTGAAGAAGGCAATAAAACTTGTCGAAAGCTTGGGCGTTGATGTAATAACATTGTATGTTTGAAGACCACAACCCGAATCCCAATCAACATCGTAAAACATAATATGAAAGAGTTTTGTTGACTTACGCTGTCCAGCTCTTTCTCAAGATCGCATTCAGGCAGAACAGAGATTTCAGTGGAGGATAAAGTCGGCAGCGGAGTCATCTGAGCAAGAAGGGCCGTCGAATTTCGTTCTGCAAGGCAGTTTTCGTAGTTCAGCGTCGCTTTGAAACCTATAAGTAAAAGGATATCAAATTTTTCTTTTTTATTGAGTGCTGTTGAATTATTTACCTATGATGGAAAACACGACGATCCCAGCGAACATGGACGTGAAGCAGTTCGTCATCGAGACCATAATCGCATCCCTGTAGCAGTTGTTGTTGACCGGGTTGTAGGAGGAGAAAGCGATCAGTCCGCCGAAAGCCAGCCCAAGCGAGAAGAAAATCTGTGTCCCAGCTTCCAGCCAGACAACCGGGTCAGACAGCGTGTGCCACTTTCAACCGTAAATAGACATTGACACTTAAAAAGAGAGCGGCTTATACAAAATTATTTCATTTTTGAAATACGCCTAGGATTATACCTTTGGCGTGAAAAGGTGACGGAGCCCGTTGCCCATCCCGTGAAGCGTGACGCCGCGGAAAAAAAATATTATCAACACTATGTACGGGAAGGTCGCAGTGACATAAACAACCTAACAGACAACTCAGTATGACCTGTTTGCCAATAACATATATTAGAAGACATACCTTCCCAGAAGATGCGATTCCTTTGATCATACACATATAAACGAGAATCCATGCAATTACGAGGGCAATGGCTATTTTCCAGTTGAACGCTTCAGGGCTATTGATGTCTTCAGAAGCCATTAGAGTGGTCCTGTACCAAAAATATTGCGTTGGCGTGCTGGCCTGAAAATCACAAAAGTTAACACCATTCAAAATAAAAAAATAAAATAATGCAGTATCTTACAACACATTCAGGCTCTGGAGAGTATGAACCGTTGGGATGGTACTTGTTCGGGCACTCCGCCCAAGGAAGCTCTGCCTGGAAACTCTGTACAAAAAGTAACCATATAATTTCTACTTTATTCTGTGTTATTTAGTCATAAATAACAGCATGATTGTGTAAAGAGTGTTCACATACTAGTATACCTCTGGTTTTCTCAAAAATTACTCAACGTAGAAAAAAAGACCAGTGGCTCAGGCCGAATGCATGTACATTAAACAATAAACAAGTCCAAAGTTTAAGACTTAAACAACAAATGATCATCATCAGCGTCAAAATAAAATAGGAAATGGTTGCAAGGGTTAAAATGGAAAAATTTGGTTAAAATGTTAAAATCTTTCAATTAATTAAGGGTTTTTTTGGATCGAGGTCACGATAGCTCAAGTGGTAGAGAAGCGGCGTATCAAGCCGAAGATCGTGGGTTCGAATCCCGCTCGTGCCATTGACTTTTTATCTCAACGAAAAACCTTAATTAATTTTAAAGCTCAAAACGTTGGCACGATAAAGAAAATGTTTTTCTAAAACCTACGTCACACCAGACCGAATCTCACGATCTCCAAATAATCAGTTATTATTAATGAAGAACATCACCAAACAAATATGCATGTTGTCACTTTTTTCAAATATGTTTTATGTCATTTCAGTTTAAAAAACCTCAGAAATTCATTATTTCCTTTATTTTATTAAAGATATATTATCATTAATAAAATATATCACTACTTATATTTAAGAAAAATGATAAACGAAAAATCTACATTAATTTGTTTGTTTTTTCGAGGCGTTTTATGTCTTTCAATATAGAAAAACCCACAAATTCAATGGCTTGACCCAGTTTATAAAAAATGTATTACTATTAGTAAGATCATTTTTTCGTACAATATATATCAAGATATTCATGATAAATGTTAAACGGTAATAAATTATCTCTTGGTTTTTATACTAAAAATACTTTTATTTATAATTAACAAATAAATAAATAAACGCCCTTCTTTCAGAGTTACTGTAGGAATAGAATAAAAATACGTTGGATTATTACTAAAATTCAAGTATTCATTAAATGTCATTAAATTATATTTGCTGTTACCATGATAATAAGGTAAATTATAACTTAGATACTAAAATAGATTAAAAAACTAAATTTATGTTTGACCAGGTGTACACCGTAACTGTAGATTTATCAAGTCTTCGATTTTATAAAAAATGGCGAAAATTGGTATATTAACACGTTAGACATACAGGATCTCAACTATTGAGCTAGGTATAGCAAAAGTTTTATTTTTATAGATTTTCAAATAGTTTTTCGCCATTTTTCTTAAAATAAAATGTATTTGATAAATCCTGCACATAAAACTGTTGGTTACCTTCGACGAAACAAAAATTTCGTTTATTAACTTGTGATGTAATTGCAAAAGCTATAATTTTTGGAATGCTTGAAAGTATTATTTATCCTAGGAAAAATACTTCCTTTCATAGGCTGAATAGTTTTGAGAAAACAAGGTAAAACACCGATTTCAAATGATTTTAGTTGGTTGTTTTCCATAAAATAAAATTTACGTTATGATAGTGCAAAGAAAAATGTAGGTTACCTACGACGAAGCAAAAATAACTGTTTTTAACTTTTCAAGAAATTTAAAAAAACTGTAATTTTTGCAATTTTTGAAAGTAAAATTCTTTCTAAGTGTGGTGATTAGTGACCGTTAATCGATAATTATTCAGAAAATGTTTTTCTGAAACCTACATCACACCAGACCGCATCTCACGATTTCTAAATAAATATCGATTAACGGTCACTAATCACCACACACGTTTCGATCTTTATTGAGATCTTCTTCAGGGCCTGGAATTTACAAACTTTGTTTACATTTAACATGTTTGTAAATCCCAGGCCCTGAAGATGATCTCAATAAAGATCGAAACGTTGACACGAAAAAGAAAATGTTTTTCTGAAACCTATCACACCAGACCGCATCTCACGATTTCTAAATAAATAAAGATCGAAACGTTGGCACAAAAAAGAAAATGTTTTTCTGAAACCTATCACACCAGACCGCATCTCACGATTTCTAAATAAATAAAGATCGAAACGTTGGCACAAAAAAGAAAATGTTTTTCTGAAACCTATCACACCAGACCGCATCTCACGATTTCTGAATAATTCTTCCTAAGAAAAATACTGTTTAGAATTTATTTCTGGGAAGAGTAGTTTTGAAAAAACTAGGAAGAACTAGTAAGTTGAAGCTCTGTGGATTTAAAGTTTTCATGCAACGATTTTCAAATGGCTTTCGCAAATTTCATAAAATCATATAACTTTATTGATCCTACAAATGAAAATAAAAGTTACCTTTTGGAAAAAATAAAATTTATTAATTAAGAAAAGTTTTGACTTTGTTTTGGTTGGGTAGTTTTTTAGAAATACTAGTACGATGAAACTATGTATATGTAACGTTATCATGAAATAATTTTCAAATGGTTTTATGTATTTTTTCATAAAATCAAATTTACTACTATGGTACTAGGAAGAGGAATGGAGATTACCATTGGACAAACAAAATTTCTTTTTTTTAACACTTTAATAAAAATAGAACTTATGCTAAAAATATAGTTTAAATTTTGTTTAGATTAAGAAGTTTTGAAAAAATAAGGAGGACACTAACAAATTGGCACACATTATAAAACATTTTTGGCGTCAATTGATTCAAAATATTGAGATATATTAGTCTCCTTGTTTTACTATTGAATTACTCCAACAAATTAATTTTTAATTTCAGTCTATTAAATGTATAGACTTCTGTACATTCAAGTCATAATTATGTCGAAAATGGGAAATCTTTATAGTTGGAAACATTAAGGTTGGTAAATTGCCAACTTTGTGCCATGGCTCAACAGGGGGTTCAACTTTATACACCACTTGTTACACGACTGATCGTCTGAATTCTTCTTTGAATCCATTTACCACAAACGGTCATTTGTCTGTGAAGTCAACTACATTTAAATTTGTTGAATAAAGGAAAAGTCTCAAAACTGTGGGCACCCATAAACACAAACATTCGACAGACGTTTGAATAGTCTGTTATGTCACGTTGCAATTGAAGCCAATTTTTCTCATTTGTCGCTGATAGAAAAATTAATCTGCGTTTTTCAAGCATTCTGAAACGATTCACCTTTTATTATCAACGAAATCCTGATGTAGACCACTAGTTGGTCGGAATTCAATATTTATATAAAATAAAGTAAAAATTAAGCTTCACTTATAAACTTAAAAACTCACACATTCCTGATAAACACATATACGACGTCAATAAAAAAAGTCCCGCGCATTTACTTTCCGACTATAATGAAAGTCGTTACTCATTACAGGGTACATTCACATTATTTTACAGGGGGTCAACACAGAGATCATGGCACATTTTTCTTACACAACTAAACCGACGACTATGACACAATTGTATGAACTCTTACATGAATGGGTGGTGATTAGTGACCGTTAGTAGATGATTATTCAGAAATCGTGAGATGCGGTCTGGTGTGATGTGATGTAGGTTTCAGAAACACATTTTCTTTATCGTGCCAACGTTTCGATCTTTATTGAGATCATCTTCAGGGTCTGGGATTTACAAACATTGTTTAAATTTAACAAATACATGTAGAATGTGGAAAAAAGTGAATTTATACAATGCAAAATATATATTTTTTAAATTCAATCAAAGTATTTCTATCTTATCAAAGTATCTCACCATCCTCTTCATACAATAATAAACACGGGCAAAGGGTTAATTCACATAATTATTATCCTAAGCCATGAATCATTTCACCACAAGAACATAGATGTACAAACAGATCCTCCATAACAGTATCTACCCTAAACACAATCAACAGAATAATCAACGACTACAACTCAACACTAACATCATCCACTAGTACTAATAATCATCAAATCTATCAAATACAAACAAACCAACATACATTTCCACGGCATTCATTCACGGCCTATCACATAAATTAAAGTCATTTCTCTCGTCCGATAACTTTAAAATAGCTTTCAAAAACTATAAAACAATTCAAACACTTTTTTCCAAAATTAAAGATCCCACACCAATAACAAATAAATCTGACGTAATCTACAAAATCAATTGTTTAAACTGTCCGGCAACTTACATCGGTCTCACATCCCAATATATCGATAAGAGAGTAAAGCAGCATATCTATGATGGCAAAAACCCAAGCAAAATCCTTCAGCACTCGCTACCCACGATTTTGAACACAAAAACAATTTCGACTTCAACAATCTAAAATTATTACACACAGTACAAAACAAACATAAACGTAACTTTTTAGAAATGGTTTACATCAAAAGAGATAAACACAGCATCAATTACAGAACAGACACATGTAAACTCAGTCGAATATAAAATATATATTTTTTTGCATTGTAGAAATTCACTTTTATCCACATTCTACATGTATTTGTTAAATTTAAACAATGCTTGTAAATCCCAGGCCCCGAAGATGATCTCAATAAAGATCGAAACGGTGGCACGATAAAGAAAACATTTTTCTGAAACCTACATCACACCTGACCGAATCTCACGATTTCTGAATAATCTCTTACATGAAGTAGAGCGGCTGGAGATTTCGGCCAAGTTGGACAATTTTTCACAGAATAACCGTTCAAAATAATTAATTAACAAACCATATTATATAATGGGAGGCAGAAATTCTGGAGGGCATAAATAAATATCAGACCGGGAAAATAACCAACGAACAGACCGTAATAATTTTTACAGGGCAATTTTTTCATAACGAGAAATAATATTCCGAAAAATACCAAACCTAGTCATGAGAAAGATAATGAGAGACAGGCTTAACATCCAACAAAGCACGACATGATTTATAAATACAAATATTAAAATAAGACTAAAACTTTTTAAATTTAGCGGATGTACCCGCGACTGATCAAGTATTGACTACTACTTTTCACATCACCTTCTCTCCTTCAAATAACTCTGATGACGTGCATATATAATATTTAATTCCTTAAATAGGTCAAGTGGTAGAGTAGCGGCGTATCAAGCCGAAGGTCGTGGGTTCGAATCCCGCTCGTGACACTGACTTTTTATCTCAACTAAAAACCTTAATTGATTGTATAATATTGAGTTTCTTTCCTTGATTTGGTTTGTTTTCCTGTACCAGGTGTACCTCTGTTCTGTACATTTAACTAAGCTACCCTGAAGCTTGGCAATCTGACACGGTAAAATCCTCTGTTTCAAGTGCATAAACTCTGGTGCCCATGGTTCAAAGTGTAAATCTTTAAGACTTAATAGATTGTTTATGAAAGCAAGTATCTTTGTTGGAAAAGGGAACATACTTGTCGAAAGGTGAAATGTATTACATAGTTAAGAAAAAGTCATTGAGAGTAGTGATATTGTAATGCATGAAGTATGTGCTGATGGATTGGAACTAATGGCAGCTTTTACCTGTACAAAATAGAAAAGACACCAGGCGATGATGGTGTTGTAGTAGATGGCGACGTTGAAGGAAACAACTGCGCTACTGATGCCTATTCCTGCCAAATACGGTGATACCTGGTTCCAAACGCCGATCGCCCCTTTCCGCAGTCTCTGCCCTATGGCAAGCTCCAAGTAGAAAATCGGTATACCCTCGACGGCGAGCATAATGAAATAAGGGACGAGAAAAGCCCCTCCGCCGTTCTTTTGCGCCAGGTAAGGGAACCTCCAGACGTTTCCGAGTCCGACGGCGTAGCCGACAGTGGCCAGAAGGAAAGTGAGTTTGCTGTCCCAGGATTCTCTGTCGTCTTCGCCGCACTCCGGCCTGAATAAGTTCTTAGGGTCAACACTCTCCTCGATCTTCTCAGTCACTTTCAAAGCAGCCTTGGAACCAAGCAACAACCACAATTATAACAACACGATAAAATATTTATAAATTTATTGTAAATAATTGCCAGATATGACATAGGAAGAAAGGAATATTCCAACCCCTTTAGACATGCAAAACAATAAATACTTCTTCAACAATTTTTTTTAATCCGTAATTTTTATACTATGCAATTATTTATGTCGCTTTTTCACTTTGGGGTCCGTGGGCAATTTTTCACTATAAAAAGGGGATCCATGGGTCAAAAAAGTTTGGGAACCACTAGTTTAAACGGAAGTACATCAAATTGTTGTTTTCTTCTTTTACCTTCGTGTTCGGGCTTGAATCGTCAAAAGCCGTGTTTGTCGCACCGTAGGTGGTGCCGTTTTCCAGGGCGACCAAACGCCCCCTCATCTCCCTGAGCTCGAGCCGGTCCAGGGAACGCTGGGGGTTGAGGTCCCTGGAGCTCTGCCGGCGGACTAGGTGAGCCGTGTTTGCCATATCCGGTCTCGTTCGTTTACCTCACTTCCTCACCTGCCCATCACACTCCTGGAAAAATAGATTAAAGGAGTTTTTTCCATAAGGAAATGTAAAAATTTTAAAAAATCAACAAAAAGTGTTCTCCTTATTTTTTATAAAACTTCTATTGTGATTATGGAAACTTAAAAAAAACTATATATATATATATATATATATATATATATATATATATATATACAGGGTGGCCCCAATCGATTCAGCCACACTTCCAGATTATGACAACAAATTATGTCCAGGCTCTCCCCTCCTTGCTGGAGGCAGGAAAGCGAGAACGGACAGTTCAGTCTAACCTAGGCATTGAAAGAAAAACAATAAGAAAAAATCCAGCTGAAAGCCAGTCAAATCAGATTTGTATCCATTTGATTTTTATTAGTATAAATTATTTCTGTTGTGTGGCCCATTTTCATTTATGGTATTTTGTTTGGTATTTTCCATTTTGGTTATCAAGGTTGATTATTTTAATTGTGCCCCTCAGACCCATATTATTATATAAAACCCATATTTTATATATTATATTATGAAAGGTTCTGCCCAATCAATTTCACTATTCCGATGGGAGTATTTTGTTGTCGACGGAGAGTTTATATATTTTATCTTTCAAGTAAACAATACTGTTGGTTCAGTTATATGTTTTATGGGATTCATGTTTAGTTGATAAATTAGATAAAACCAACAGTTTCGGATTACGATTTTTTAGGAAGAGTGTGAGGTTACAATAGATTAAAGGTTATGGTCTTCTTCATCCACTCCTGTTCTGTCTCCTCTCTCTTTCCTGTCTCTCTCTCTCTCTCTCTCTCTCTCTCTCTCTCTCTCTCTCTCTCTCTCTCTCTCTCTCTCTCTCGCTGTCGCTCTCTCTTCCTCTTTCGATCATGTATCTACCTTTATATTTACCTTGTCTAACTATCTTGTTACTTATTTGTCATCCAATATGCATCATTGTTTCTATGTGAGTAGAACCGTTCGATATGAGGTCACATACAAAGCAAAACCCGTTTTTTCTCTTCAAGCTTTCGGGATATATTATTCAAACATCAGGTCAATTATCCCAGAACTATATTATAAAAAATAGGCTTTGCTTGTGGCCGAAAATTTTGCATCTCTTTTAGTCTTTTTCCATTTGTCTATCAGATTAAATTCCTTTTATCTTGTTAAATTCTTTGGTTTCATTATTGCCAAATAAACAGAAATTTTTCATTCGTATTGGAATAATGGAATTGGAATAATGTGTGGTGATTAGTGACCGTTAGTCTATGATTATTCAGAAATCGTGAGATGTGGTGTAGTTTCAGAAAAATATTTTCTTTATCGTACCAACGTTTCGATCTTTATTGAGATCATCTTCAGGGCCTTCTTTCTTTTTCCTAATTATACCCGTCTATATAATCCTGAAAGGATAATCTGGCTGAACTAAAACCAACGTTTTTTTCCCTTCGTCGGCTCTTTTCACCTCAAAGACGCCGACTCCTTATAAAAAAATGTCTTTCTATACCGACTTTCCCCACCCCTTCAAAATCCAACGTATATAAACATAAAACAGCAAAATCTCACTGGCACTCTCAACACGACACGCGAGAATGGCACACTTACGCATAAAACCAACACTTTGAGTGAGTAGAAATACTTTGATTGAATATAAAAAAATATATTTTTTTGCATTGCATAAAATCACAATTTTCCACATCCTACATGTGTTTGTTAAATTTAAACATTCTTTGTAAATCCCAGGCCCTGAAGATGATCTCAATAAAGATCGAAACGTTGGCACGATAAAGAAAATGTTTTTCTGAAACCTACATCACACCTCGCATCTCACGATTTCTGAATAATTGGTATAATGCTCGATTCATTTATTTATATTAATATTTACGTATTATGACTTAATTCTTCGACAAGCACTCATCCACACACACATATATAGTTAGTAAAATAAGCAGTGAAGGGACAATATCCTACAACCCTGGAGAATATACGCATGCGTCGGAAAATATGCTGACAATGTTCGAAATCCTCGGGAAAAGTCTTAAATATATAAAAATATATAAAGTAATAACTACAATTCTGAATAGACGATAAATAAAATAACTACAAAAACCAAATAGAACTAATGAACGATTGGCCTGCAAAATATATCCAGATTTAAAAAATGCATTAGTTATATTGTAATTTATAAATGATTAATTACAATTTTAGATTACTATTACGTTCCGTTAGTTATTTCACAAAGTTAAAAAAAAGTAAGAAGGGGAAAATAAATTATTGCATCCTGTACAATCTTACCGTTCAACGTGAATTTGTTCAGTGTGTTTTTCTACATACCTATGCATAGATAATATGTTATTCGATAAATTGACTTGCATTATATTTCGTCTAACTTATGTTAAATTTTTTTTAATTGAGGATCGAATTTTTTTTTAAATTTTTTAGGCCTGCAATCTCAAGGGTCGTACACGACTAGTCTTGCTGGTATCGGCATCCTTGGTGCATTCATCCAATTGCGCTATTTTAGTGCGTTTGAAAAATAAAAAAAGCTAATAGGGTAAAAGAAGTAGGGATGATTGGATGTTTAGGATGGTCATAAAACCATGAAACTAAAAATTCTGTAAATATTATTATTAGGACATAAAGCATCCAATGCATGTTTCTAATCCTATCTATATACCTAGATCTATATTCCTTAGTTTGGTCGTTAGTACGAAATGACACGTGTAGGCCCTCTTGCTTCATTTACCATCCTTACCAAACTTCGTTAATAATTAATCGAATTGATTCTCCACCAGGGAAATTCCAACAGTCGGTTTAACGATTAAGTGGCGAGATTCGAAAAGGGGGCGGGGTGATAGTTAACAGGCTGGATGTGCACAATGGAGTCGACGTGGGCGCTGAATGTGGCATGCTTCACGATTCAGCAACAAATGGATTTTCTTTCTGAATGGATTTGTATTATGCCGTTTCGTTCGTTTTAGATAACTAAGGAAGAAGTTGGTTTTTCTGTTTAAAATCGAATTTTCATCTTTGTAAATTGTATGTCGATTTAAAGATAAAAAGCGTACAGATAGGCTGATATTCAATACGAGTTTTTCTGTTTTCTTTATTTACAATTCTACCTTATCTTCCTTCCTTTTCTCATTGCGTTTCCACCTTTTCCGTTTTATATGTGATCAGTACTCACCTGTTCCTCGGTTACACAGCCCGCGGGTTCTCCTGTCGCCTGGCAGACTGGCGAAACGGGTCGATTATTCGACAAGGAAGAGGGTGCGTGGAAGCTGGGGTCCCGTGACGTCACGGGAGAAGGGAGGGGCCTGTATCAATATGAGGCTGGCGTGAAATAAGCTGCCGAGACGAAATCAATTCAGGGAAAAGGGTTGAAAAATCAATTAACGCCAACAAACAAAAAACGTACTTTTTCGTCAACGCAAAAGAGAACTAACATTTAGATTAAAAGTAAATTTATATGTTGAAAATTTTGTTACTTCGATAAAAAATAAATACGAACTATTACATTAAACTATGTATTACATTTTAATCAAGAGCAATAAAAATGACTCGACATCCCCTTATGCACAATCTCTCTGGGTTTTTTTCAGCCAAACTTAATTATTTTGGTTGGTTTGCGTTTTATTTTTGTAAATAAAACACGAATAAGAGTCTACAAAATAACACACAACGCGGAAAAACTAAAAGGAGGCAATGGAGTACAATACACTAACATATTTACACTTTCTATGCGGGGCTATTTTTCCTGAAAATTCCCGTTACGGGATATACTTTTTTAATATACTTTGTAAAGTACATAGTAACAATTATCAAGGCATATAAACATCATATTTTTCATTAAAGGTTTGGAAAACAAACAAAGTTAAGTGGACGTAAATTTACCTCCTCCGTACGCCTGAAAATCCGAATTATGCAATCCACACGTTCCAGGCAAAACCGACGTTTCCTACGACGTTCAATAATAACTTTAAGTATAGTTTATAAGTTTCAATTAATTAAGGTTTTCAGTTGATTATTCAGAAATCGTGAGATGCGGTCTGGGGTGATGTAGGTTTCAGAAAATTCTTTATCGTGCCAACGTTTCGATCTTTATTGAGCCCTGAAGATGATCTCAATAAAGTTCGAAACGTTGGCACGATAAAGAAAGTGTGTTTCTGAAACCTACATCACACCAGACCGCTTCTCACGATTACTGAATAATTATCGATTAACGGTTACTAAACACCACACACGTTTTTAGATGTGATAAAAAAGTCAGTTTCACGAGCGGGATTCGAACCCACGACCTTCGGCTTGATACGCCGCTACTCTACCCCTTGAGCTATAGTGATTTTTTTTATCTCAACTAAAAACCTTAATTAATTGAAAAATATTAATTGCTCAAGCGAACCACGAAATTAGTGAATTTAAAAAGTTTATAAGTTTTTTTTTTTGTCTTCATTTGTTTTTATCTGCAACTGTATATATATATTATACACAACCAGCATATAGGATTTCAATTTTTGATAGTGGCATTACGGGCATTATAGAGAAAGCTGCCCATTGGTAGCTGGTAATAAAATGATTTTAATAATATAAGAGGTCTTTTAATCCATATTCTTTTCAGTCGCTTACATGGTAATTGTGGGGAATGGAGTAATCGTATTTGTGTGTTAGTTTGATTTTGAAATTTGTAAAAACTGTTGGCACGTGATGATCGCTGTGAAGTGTGTTATTTTTTATGTAAGAAAGGGCAGAAACAATTAGTCTTAAAATTTTGAATTGAAAACTTCGTAATCTTTGAATATTGGAATATTTGGCCGATACATAAACTTGGTTACATACACCCTTACATACAAATAGGTTTTAGTAAGTATGTGTATGTCAAAAGTTTTGATTTTAATGATAATTTTTATTGTCGGTTAAGTAGGTCATAAAACATATTTTCATATTGTTTCTTGAGGGTCTGCTAATTTTGATCGTGTGTTGGATTCCAAGGTAGTCTTCTATTAACTGTAAGCCCTATATAGTTAACTTTGGCGGATTGAGGAACAGGTTCATTGTACAAGTATGCTAGGTCAAGTCTCACGGCAGAGTGTAAAAGTCATATTTGGTGAGTTTGAGTGGTTAAACTTTATTTTCCAAAAATCGCTCCGTTTTTATTGTTGATATATGGTTTTATAACATAAGTGAAACTTGAGTAGAAGAAGGAAGACAAACATACAACTGTGCATTCAGAAGTAAAAATTCATAGTTTTCATAGTGTGATAATATATATTTTTTCATGGTATATGTTTCGGTTTACGTCTACAAAAAACAAGTTCAATGGTAGTTCAAATCGTGATAGAGCGTTAATGCAATTAACTACTTTGTATCCTTGTTGCTTAATTCCTGTAGAATAGAGAAGTGTAGACCTTTCAATACAGTGTAATTTTTTTCTTCTTGTAGTATGAAATTCATTTTGAGTTTTTTTTTTCAAAAATTGTCCAAAAAAGGCCGGTGCGTTTGGGGTTTGCTGCCAGTAGATTTGGATAATTTTTAGTGTTTTTTATGGTGAAGGAATTGATGCCTCCTATGTTTCTAAAAAAATTTGTTAATGAATGAGTATTCGCTACATTTTTAAAAAAAATCGGTGGACGTTTTCTATCTTTTGTTTCGGTGTCAGAAAATATTTGAAATTGATTGCTTGTAGGAATTGGACTACTCACAGTAGTTCGGAAACGCGCAACTGGCCTCGGGTCTCTAAGCAATTTGTGGACCAGGTCGCTTTCTCCCAAAAACTTTGTGCCACTCATCTTTTTTTTTTTATACCCTTTCCACCACCCCGCCGTACCAGAGGAAGACCCCATGCCGGCGGACAAACGATTTAGCTTAATCGAATTTGTATATCTAAGGGATTTCAAATAAATGGGATAAAATTACCTCCCAACGATCTTTCCTTCAGGCGAGACCGCTGGTCGGTTTTCGAAGGAACAATATTTTCATTTTGAAGCCTAAAACAAAAGGTCTTCCCTTGCTGGTTTCCCCTTGCACATTTACATTTTCTTGATTTTATTTTCTATATATTTATATTATCTAAAATTTTCTTTCTAAGAAGAGGAAAACAGCCCGGAACCCTAAACCTAAACCTATGTTTAATTATGCAATAAATAAATAAATAACGGTAATAAAACTCTAACAATAACAACAATATTTAGGACTTACTAAATAGAATAAAAAGGGACTTTTTCATTTTAGCTAAGTTGAGGCAAAGTCTTTTAGTGCTGCAAATGATTTGATATCCCAGACTAGTTTATGGAGATTAGGCGGCCATTTTGCTGAGGTGATGGTCTTTCGCAAACGTTCTCTTTCTGCATTGAATTTGGTACAGCTGAAGAGTTTATGTTTGGCGTCTTCTTCGGTGCTGCAACTGTCGCATAAAGGGCTTTCTCTTTTCTTATATTTATGAAGATAGATTGCGAAGTTTCCATGTCTTGATAGCATTTGGGTGGTCCAGTAGTCGGGGTGTAGCCATTTTGCTTTTTGTCTCCGTTCAACGCTGGGGAAAAATTTGGATGTTAGCCTACCTTTATTGCTATGATGCCCTTGTCATTTTTCCCAAGTACTCTTGGGAAGCCTCCTTTCCAGTTATGCTTCGGAACCAGTCTATTTCTCCTTGGCTTGCTCCAATATCAATTTCCTCATTTTTCTTTTTTTAGTGGATGACCACCCTTTCTTTAAGGACAAGATCTATTGGCGGTGCGTTGGCTATTAACTTGTAAGACGTGTGTTGAAATCCTTTTGTGGTTCTTATAAGAGCTATTCGTTGGCTTTGCTCTATTATAGCTTTGCTTTTGCTCGGTAGTCGTTTGGCCCATCCGGCTGCACCATAACTTGCTATTAGGAAGAAGACACCTTATAAATTGTGGAGAGCCCTTTTGTGCTAAGTTCATATTCCACTTTCTTGTCGTTTCCCTTATTTTAATAGCGTGCCACTCATCTGTAAGATCGTGTTCGTTTAAGTTATTAACCTCACAATCCGTTTGTTCTTGTTCTTCGTCTATTTCTGAATTTCAATGAACAGGGAAACTCAGAATGCCCAGAGAGTTTAAAAGAAAAATGCACACCTATACTAATTCCAAGGTTCTAAGGTTCGCACTCTCAACACGTCACGCAAGAATGGCACAATTACACAGGAGACAAACACTTTGAGCCCTGAAGATGATCTCAACAAAGATCGAAACGTTCGCACGATAAAGAAAATGTTTTTCTGAAACCTACATCACACCAGACCGCATCTCACGATTTCTGAATAATTATCTTTTCTTAAGGTTTCTGGCCATTTATGGTTTTGGAACCTTGGAATTAGTAAAGGTGTGCATTTTGCTTTTAAACTCTCTGGGCATTCTGAGTTCCCTGTTCATTGCAATTCAGAAATATCGAAGAATAAGAACAAACGGATTGTTTTCCACATAATTCGATCTCTCATTCTTAAAATATGATCACTTTTCTTCTAGTTTTTTTTTTACGTTCACGTTTTTCCTATTATATGTAGCCTTATCTGTCATTATTTGATTAATAACTCTAAGGACTCCTTCACATATTACGCTAAATGAAGCGTTTTTATCTTCCAATATTTCTAGAGTGGGCTGATAAGGGTTGTATGTAATTAGACCACCTTCAATATTTTTTGGGGGTACAAATGAGGGGGCTTCTTAATTTTTTGTTCATCGGTTGGGGTGCGTTCTCAGGCAAGAATTAATTCGTTTGATTCCCTTCCCGCTGCCTACGTTAGTCCAAGAGAGGAAGGAGGATTGTATTTGTGGAAACGCCATTTTGTCCGATAAATTAGGTACTGTGGCTATATGGGCATAACTTGTTTTGTTTTACGAAATTTTTTGCGTCGTTGTATGCTATGTTCTCGTGGGCTATCTTTTCTTTTATTAATTTTTGTGCTTTAAATTCTTGGTTATGCTGTTTGAGAGAAGGTAGAGTGAGCACCGTGGCAACGTAAACCTTTTTTGCGTGAAGTCTTTCTCCTTTTTTTTAAATTATTTTATTTAAATCTTGTGTACATACATTTTATGTTTGGTTAATACATACTGATATACAGCACACTCAAAAAGTTTGATTAACATGGCATTTGAGGGTGGGTCCTGCCCTATGGCAGTCCTCACAATAATTCACTGGGGTATAATAATTGAGAATTAATAAGTAAATTAACCTACTTATCACAGATTACGTATCACTTATTAAATTCACTAGTTTGAGTGGTCCGCTTGACCAAT